GGGTTCTTACTCTCTTAGCTTAAAGGGGCCGGGCAGTGTAAATCGCCCCGGGCGGTTCCCCCAGTCCCCGCCCCGCGGTTCCGCCAGTCCCCTGGGAGCTTTAGGCTTAGCTTTAGCTTTAGCTTAGCTTTAGCTTTAGCTTTAGCTTAGCTTTAGCTTAGTGTTAGTTTAGCTTTAGCTTAGCTTTAGCTTAGCTTCAGCTTAATGTTAGCTTTGCTTTAGCTTAGTGTTAGCTTAGCTTTAGCTTAGCTTTAGCTTAGCTTTAGCTTAGGTTTAGCTTAGCTTTAGCTTAGCTTTAGCTTAGTGTTAGCTTAGCTTCAGCTTAGCTTCAGCTTAGCTTTAGCTTAGCTTCAGCTTAGCTTTAGTTTAGCTTCAGCTTAGCTTCAGCTTAGCCTGAGCTTAGCTTTAGCTTAGCTTTAGCTCAGCTTTAGCTTAGCTTTAGCTTAGCTTTAGCTTTAGCTTTAGCTTAGCTTTAGCTTAGCTTTTGCTTAGCTTTAGCTTAGCTTTAGCTTAGCTTTAGCTTAGCTTAGCTTAGCTTTAGCTTAGCTTTAGCTTAGTGTTAGCTTAGCCTTAGCTTAGCTTTAGCTTAGCTTTAGCTTAGCTTAGCTTAGCTTTAGCTAGCTTTAGCTTAACTTTAGCTTTAGCGTTAGCTTAGCTTTAGCTTAGCTTTAGCTTAGCTTTTCTTAGCTTTAGCTTAGCTTTAGCTTAGCTTTAGCTTAGCTTTAGCTTAGCTTTAGCTTAGCTTTAGCTTAGCTTTAGCTTTAGCTTAGCTTAGCTTTAGCTTAGCTTTAGCTTAGCTTTAGCTTAGTTCTTAGCTTAGCTTAGCTTTAGCTTAGCTTTTTAGCTTAGCTTTAGCTTAGCTTTAGCTTAGTGTTTAGCTTTAGCTTAGCTTAGCTTTAGCTTAGCTTCAGCTTACTTAGCTTTAGCTTAGCTTTAGCTTAGCTTTAGCTTAGCTTTACTGTTACTACTAATGCTGCTTTCCTAGGGGCTCCAACTCCTAGGTAGGGTCGCACTGGGATAATTTTCAGACCTTGGACGGGGCGACAACGGATTACCTTCAGGGGTTTAGCAACACCTCAGACAGATCATGATCAGCGCTAGTGGGTAATAGTGGACATGTAAGTTATTGCCCTTGGGTCTTGAAATCACGACTGTAACGCGACGGTCGTCACCTGGACACACCCCTTCAGGCGTGAGGGCAGTGAGGATGGACTGATCATCATACGATTCATTCGGTCCAGGGAGATGTACTGAGGAGACAGCCAGCCGCGCGTCGCTGGCTCGCGCCCTCCTGGGGCGGCACGATCCCCTCTGTCATAATCGAAGTGGTGAGGCCACCAGGACAGTCATCAGCACGCGGTGCGCCAGGCCGTATACTCGGTGAGCACGCAGAAGCTCTGCTGGAGATAGCAACATTTGCCATCTTCCGAGGAGGTACGACGACATGACCACCCAGTGACGTGTAGTCGGTCGGTCGGGCCGTCAGGACGTCGTCGGGTGGCGCTGCGGGGGACTCGACCACCCCTCTGGGGAGATCCACCAGGAGCCGCCATGGAGGGAAGGCCGACCTCTGGGCGGCAGCACCACCTCGCAAGTGGTGTGGGACTCAACACCGCCGACGCGGACCTGCCAGGGGCTTCGGCCACCCCCCTGGAGGGGGCCCCGCCAGTCCCCTCAGAGTCGGCAGCCGCGCCCTCGGACCTGAACGGGGCCTCGGCCATCCATCTAGCGGGGGCCCCGCCGGTCTCCTCAGGCGCGGAAGGCGAGGCCGAGGACCTGATAGGGGGTAGGGTATCGGCCGCCTCCCTCCCGCAGAGGGCCCCATGGATCTCCTGTGGGAACGCCTCAGGAGGTCCCGTGGCAACGTGGGGGTGCCATGCCCGTTGCCCTGCGAGCTTGAGAGAGATGTCGCCGTAGTCGGGAAGCTGCAGGCCTCCATGGCCTAGATGAATAGCCGCGTCCGAGAGGGTGGAAGAGCGAACTGGGACATCCCGATGCCTGCTGGGTCTCGAGGTGGCCTCGAGCTGCACGACCCCTGCATCATCGGGCTCAGGGGTAGTATCAGCAGCATGACGTGCGGCCTTAGTCACCGTGCCAGCGGGAGCCTGACTGCCCGCTGCGGGCGCAGCTGGAGCCGTTGCCGCGGCCGCGCCTACTGCTTCAGCAGCGGCCGGTGGAGACACCGCTGGGCCGATGTGGCGGTCCCGAGTGGGCTCGGCGTCGGCACGCAGTGCGGCGAGGCTCTCCGGGGCCAAACACTTTGGACGCCGCCCTTTTGACCGAGGCGGCGAGCTCACGCGTGATGCAGTCCCACTCTGGAAGCTCCTCGCTCGGGACCGCCAGACCGTGTCGAGAGAGAAGAGCTCGCCATCCGCGAGGGTGACCTGGCCTGAGCCGGCGGCGCCACAGGAAGCGGCTCCAGACGATGGCGCATGCTTCGGGCAGGCCTGCTCCCGGGCCGTCTTGGCGATCACCACCTCCTTGCCGCCTGCTTTTGCCAGGCCTTCGCTCTGCACTCCGAGAGCCAATCGCGGGTCTCCTCGAGATACAGAGAGGGAGCTCCTCGACGCGCGCCTGCCACTTGCGGTGGGCTGCGCCCGTGGAGGGCACTTCCTCCTCCGGCATGGGAGGAGGAGGAGGAGGAGGAGGAGGAGGAGGAGGAGGAGGAGGGGAAGGGGAAGGAGGAGGAGGAGGAGGGGGAGGAGGAGGAGGAGGAGGAGGAGGAGGAGGAGGAGGAGGAGGAGGCCCGAGGCGACGCTGGCGGCGCTGTGACCGCTGCTTCTTCGTCCCGTGGCGCTCGGAGTGAGGATCATGTGGCAGCTCCCGAGCAGCAGGTGGAGCTGCTCCGTGCGTCGCTCGATGCGGAGGCTCGGGTGGGGCGGCGAGCACGCCCAGAACCTCCATCCTCGACCCTCGGGCATCGATCACCGAGCGCGTTGCACTACTCGCAAAGCGCCTACTCGCAAACGTCCGAAAACCACATTTTCGCTTCGCCGCAATTTGTCGTAGATCCCCCGCGGCGGATCCAGGCCATCTGCAAGCAGCTACTTTGCGAGTAGTGAAAAAGCTCGTCTAATCGAGGGGGAGCCTGCGTGACCTCGACCCCCTGACCTCGACCCCCCGTCGGGCGCGCCGCTCGATGCGGAGAGGCCCTCCGCGCCGTCCCGGGAGTGCCCGAGCGCGCGTTTGCGGGCTGCTGGCGCGGGGCCTCGCCGCAGCCCTCGGCCTCTCGGGCGTCGCCGCCGGCCCTTTTACAGGAGGCGAAAAGACACTCAGACACGAGTAATCGTCGACCCCCAGGAAAAGATGGGAAAGTATTGGAAGTGGGGGGGGAATACGAAAATCCAGGAAATATGGGAAAATATTGGGATCCTGGGATTTGTGTGTATTTCTTTGCGTGTCCCTGGGCTGGGCCCCTTTACCTTTGCCTCCGACTCCTTTTTCTCCCGCGCCTTTGCCGTCGCCCTTGGCGCGCGCCATCGTTGCCTGCCGGCTTCGTTCCGTACCTGAACGCGGGTGGCCAGTTGGCCCATTGGCCCGTTGGCTCAGCACACATTCTCCTGGCGCCTGCGGCACCAGGACGCACCCGCACCGGGGGCGCCATTTGTTGCCTCTGAAGTCCCACCCGCAGCGGCAGTCGGAGCACTGAAAGTGACGTTCCCGTGCCGCGGGCGATCTTTGTCATAAGCTGAACGCGAAGGTGGGCCGTCGCGGGAGCTCGGGCCCCTGCGGTGTGCGAAAGGGGCTGCGCGCGGGGGCGCGCTGGCAGCAGCTCCTGACCGGGGCGAGCTGGCCGAAAGGATTGATGCAAGCCGCGGGCCAGCGGTGTCCAAGCTGGTTGTGGCGAAGTGTAATGAAGCGGAATGGCTTGGCCTCGCTCGGACGTGTGCATTCTTCTCGGCGAGGGCCATCGAGGAGTATCCTAGATCATCTGGCAAAAAAAATACACGCACGAAGGCAACACATGCACGGGGAATGTACATCCGAGGGATGGCAAGGATGGACGGAGGAGGGCAAATGGGAGGAGGGGGGAGTCTGGGGTGCTGGGAAGGGGGGCGGCAAGAGGCGTGTGCGGGGG